TTGATTTCATGCCACCCATGCAGGTTTCCTCCTGCCATCTCTATTGCCCCACCAGAATTTTCAGATCAGTATATTTAGGTGTTCGCACAAACCTCTAGGGAGTTTGGAATATGACATGGAATAGACCGGAACCGCCCGAGCAACCGCTTTGACAAGTACCTCTTTCCCTGCCATTGCCATGGTTTTTTCTATCCAACCTTGCACCTTGTTCCATAAACGGTCTTTGAGATATTTGAAAGCACCATTTTTGAAGAGCCCACATCCGATGGCATCGCAAGATATTTTTCGGCTCAAGGTTTCATTTGGGACATTAAGCAACCCTTTGATTTCCGCCCTTACATTGTCAGGAACTCTCTTGCAAAATATTGAACATTTGTCATAGTTGATTCTCCGCCCTGTGTCCTAATAATAAATGTCCAACATCTGGTGCACCCCTGATGCTCCCACTCCATTTGCACTGAAAAACAGCGGGCTATCATCTGCAAAGAATAAGTGGCTAACTAGCAGTGCCAAATGAGCCACTTGTAGCTTGGTTGAACCACGCAAAGAATCCCAATAAAGAGTTCCTCGGGCCCAACGTGTGAGCGCAATAGTGGGCCTTGAAGCCTTATGTCATCACTCTGTGAGCTCCCAAAATCCCGTACCAGATTGCCTAAAAAAGAAGGCAAAAAAAATAGCCTCCACGTGCCAATCGTTGAAAAACTTTGTTGAAGATTGTTGTTAACTTTCAGCTCCTGTAAATATTTTAATGCGCTTACTACTCTATGACTACACTTGGGTTGCGTGTAATAAGGACAGAGTTCGTCCATGCATCAATTCTAAAAGATTCGGAGTTAACTTCCAACTGATTCAAAGTCACGCGGCAGGTACTTTCAAGTCCGGCTGGCAACTCCCAATTTCTGTCTAATGTAGGTACTCCATTGTATTTTCAACTCAATATGTCGTTTGTGTTGCTTAGGCGATCTCTAGAAATAACAATGAGTGCGTGGAAGAAGCAACGCCTTCAATGTGATGCCCAGCAGCTTGCATCCACCCTGATACATACCTGTGTTGCTATGGTTTTTGTAATCAAGGTAAAAGAAAATGCCCACAGATCCGGCCCATCTATCCACTACTCTCTCCATTCCAGTTATATGCGTGCAAAACCTAAGCGAGTATCGGCATCCCCCTGCTAAAGATGGCGGGCGTGTTGGAGCGCGCTTTCTTGATGTTGCGTCCAAGCTGTCAAGAGGACCTCGCAGTGTATGGCGAGACCTAGAGCTATATCACTGTCGTCAAGAGCCGGCTACTAGCACTTGTGCCAACAACATAACATCTGGTAATGCAAGCTCTGCCATGCTGATGTAAGTTGTCCCAGCTGAAGGAGGCACTCAGGGTTAAAAAGGCGCTGGTTTTGCTTGCAGCCGGCTCGTCCCTCGGTGATCTTACCAAGACTACTTAGTCTTGTGACAACTAATCAGGGCATTTGTTTAAAGATCAACTCTCCCCTCCGCACATTAGCTTAGCTGAGAAATGCAAGTGTTTTGAATAGAAACATAGCACCATGGATATGTTGCTGGGATGGGGTGGGTCCAGGCGTCCGAGGCAACACCCGTTAAGAAAAATCAGTTTTTTTTCACCTTGGACCGACCAAGCAAGTGGAGACCAACATTGAAATTAGGATGGTCGTATGGCAGCGTTGGCCCTTGGTAGCTAACAAACAAAATTCTGAGCAGTGTTGCGAGTGGCTACATGGTAGATTGGTACTCCTTTTGTTCATTATTATAAGATATTCTACTCCCTCTGTCCCATACTATAAGATGCTATTACAACCCATATATGAGTACATTGATGGGATGGTAGTGAATTTGATAGGCCGCTATGAACTTGGTTAGCTTGCTAGTCTCTATCTCCTATAGACGTTCTACAGGTTGTATGGAGATCTATGTGAACTAGATTTCTTTGCTTAATTTGTACACAATTTTTTATTTTAGATTCTAGCAAGAGCTCTTGTATAAACTAGATGAAAGGATACACCCAGATGAGCATACCAAATAAACAAATTGTATGTAAGCATAACTAAATTGGCGATATGTATATGTTCATCAGTGATATTTCATCAACATGCATATGTTGAAATTATTATAGAATCTAATTAGTTTGAGACCCATTTGCAAATGATACAATTTATACTCTATAAGGTTCTATAAACATGCACATCTAATAATACACTAGAACCAATATAAGATATTCGTTGGATATTATTCCTTAGAAACCTCATATGCACATACATACAAATATGTATGTGTGCACTATATAATTTGTGATTATCAACAAAATAATTCAAAGATAATTTATGTTACATCACTTAGTTAACTTAAATTTAGCATAAACAAAATGATAAATAATATACGTTACAAACAATAACAAAGAACATTTGTTAACTATACCAACTAAATTGTATGGTTAACTATACCAACTAAATAATAAAATGTATACTCCTTAATATTGTAATATGATAACAAAATGAAATTAAGTATAAAATTTTGGTACAAAAAATAAGTATAATAAGTGGATTTTGGTGCACTTAAAACAATCTCAAGCAAATTCCATTTGTGTTGTCTGCACATATAACTTTTCGTTAATGTGCGTTTTGCACATTCTTATAACTTTGAAGCAAATTGGGACGAGTACATACAAATCCTGAACAGATAGTACGTTGAAACAACGGGAATAAAGCCAGCCCGACACTTTCGCAGCCAGCCGACCACCGCCAGCGTACCTGGGCCGACCCTGCGTCCACATGCCTCTAAGAACTCAAGATCACGTCGGGTCGCCACTCTCATCCCGCGTCTCCGCCTCGTGTCGCCGCGATCCCCACCGAAGATGGCTGACCGGGACCTGCCCGTCGGCGGGCGACGCGCACGTCTTCTCCGACACTAACCGGCACCTGCCCAAGTGCCCCTCCCTTCTAATCTCAAGACGCGCACGC